ATTAATATTAAGATTGAATAATTCGAATTAAGATTGCATGTTAATCTTAATATATTGAATTGTAATAATACATTTTATTTTGTAATAGTAGTAACCAGTAATAGCTCGTACCAATCACATTGCGCATAATATATACACGTGTACTTTATTTATTTATACGTATAATGAATGAAATTGAATTTATTAGATGTAACAGTTGGGAAAACATTAAGGAAATTGGCTGTCTACACACATTCTCTCTCCAATTAATCATCATCCATGATAATTGGTTTTGGCTTTAACTAGTTTTTATCTATTTATTAATCATATTGAGAATTAATCACCATTTTCACCATTATAAGAGATGATGTGGAGTGAGTGGGCTAGTAAGTGTGGGTTATTATTTTGTAACAACATTAGTAGTATAAACTTTTCCAACGTGATAATTGTCTTACTTTGTTTTCAAAGTTATTTGATTGATTGGCCATGACATTATGAGAGAAAAAAATTCACACACATACATATTATAATTTCCTTTTCTCAGGTTATAGGATTAAAAATATGATCTTGATAAAAAAACATATTAATTGGAAATCTAGAAATTATATCTATCTATTTATTATTATATTTATATTATTATAAGCTAAAATTTTGTAGATTAAGATAAATAATATGTCTCAACAAAAGAAACAGGATTAGTTTCATCTTCTGGACTCATCATATTTAGACAATAATGATGATGATGGTCAGTGAGAGTTGGTGAAAATGAGTTGTTATTATAATCATGTTGTGGTGAAGGTGTACGAGACAAAAGAATTGGAATTGGCTCTGTTAATTGTGGTAACATTAATTCCTCAATAATACCATTATCACTATGATTATGATTAATATTATGATTAAATGGTTCAGGTGAAAGCATATTCATTGTAATATTTGAATTATCCCATAATTCACTAATGATTGGTGAAGTCAATCTTGGCAAGTGTTGAGGAGAGACAATAACAACCTTTTGCTTTATCTGTGTTTTCTTCACTGTTACTACTTCTTCTTCTTCTTGTTGTTGTTGTGATGGTATTGAAGATTTTATTTGTGGTTGGTGATGATGTACTTGCATGGACATTATTGGTACATCATCTAAAGGATCATTTTGATGCCAAATAATTGTATTTGTTTGCTTAGTTGGTCTAATTGCAATATGTTCTCCTATTGGATATGGTTGCTAAATGAATAAAAATTTATATTAAGTATCGAAGAATTTTTAGATAAATAAATAAACATATATATTTAAATGTATACCTTTCTTTTATTGCTGACTTGTTGTGATTGACAATTTCTTCTTTTCCTAAGGTTTTCAATATTTGTTGAATGTTTATTTTCAATTAGTGTTGAAGATGTTGCATTATTACTATTGTTATTATTATGATTATTGTGATTATTATCAGTGTGTTCAAAATTATATGATTGTTGAGAGTTTTGTGAGATCAATGAACACAATTCACTTTGTGACAAAGGTTCCCAATTAATTTTCTTTGCCTCATTATCAAAATTACTTAAACTCAATCCATCATTATTATTATTGCAATTATTATTATTGTTATTATTAAAATCAAATAAATATTGATTATAGTTTAAAAACACATAAAGTTCTTCCCATAATTGATTTCTTAAAAATTCATTATTAGTGGATGAAAGTAATTTGAGTTTTGTCAATAATTCATTAATAAACTTTTCATTATTGATAAATCTTTGATTGTTTGTTTGAATTTGTGTCCACAGAATATTTATGAGTTGATTTTGACTTTGCGAAAAATTTTTTTTATTAAATAATATAAACAAAAGCTCTTGCAATTTAACAATGTAATTATTTTCCTGAACATTACAATCATAAAAATTACTATTACTATTATTGTCAACCTCCATTTCAAATTTTTCATTCAAAATATTTCTTTTAACATTAATATTATGATGATCACTATGACTATGATCGTTACTATTACTATGATCACTATTATCATTATTACAAAATCCACTAGATTTTTGTGTTATAATAGTTCCATCAATATTAAAATCATTTTTTTTATCTTGTCTAGAATTATTACAAACAAAATGAAAACCCGGAAATATCAATCGAGAATTCTTGTTAAATAAAGGTGCTGTTGTTGTTTGACAGTTATTTACGTGATTATTATTGTTATTATTATTATTGTTATTAATGTTGTTGATTATATTACTGTAGTTAAGATTCGATTTAACAATCATCTTTAACTAAAATCTTTTGCTTTTGTTTTTTTAATGAGGGGAAAAATAACTGTTTTTTATGATGTTTGTGGCTGGCGTTTGTGTGACTTTAAAATCTTTAATGCAAGACTGGAACTTTCCGCGCACCACAATGCCGACTTTAAAAACATACAAATAATATTTGAGGATTTTTATTCATACTATTTAAGTCATTGGAAATTGTTTAATTTACCATTTATTCTCTCTTCCAGGGTTAAGGATTGGTCTTCAATTTTGCCAATAAAATTACTTTAAAAAAAAAAGATACAAATTTTATAAGAAACTCAATTAAAACTGGCTGGATCTATATCAACATTTAACCTTGCTCCCTGCTCTTTTCTAGCAGCCACTAGGTTTTCTTTTGTAATTTTTAATTGACCTTTATTGGAATCAGAAAACAACATTCACGATCTTTGCAGTTGTTTCTTCATACTTGGGTGCATTTTAATATCATACAGTTCACTCTCTCTAAAACGGTCCTTCCGTTTCAGTAAAAAAAAGTCCGTTATAGGAAATTTTGCAGATGCGATCGATATTAAGAAAGCTATATCTAAATGTTGATTGATGCGAAACCAAAATCAATTTTTTTAATTTGATGATATAAAAATGAGATCACATTGTTACAATGCAAACAAGAACGTTCTTCTTTCTAAATCATCAAATAAAATATTCACAGATTTTATTGCAAATGTTACTAAAAATAGTAATGATGACACCTCAATTTAATTTTTAGATCATGTGGTATATGAGCCAGACCATAGAGTAAGATTTTTAAATAGTAAAAAATTGGGCTTTAATTTCAGTTCGTTATAGAGTGAAGGCCATTATAGAGAATGTAAACTGTATTTGTTAAACAGGGTTTCAATTTGTTGTTAGTGTGTACTGACATGGATCAAATTCTATATTTCATGAATCATACATAAGTGGAAATTTGTGAATGTCTGAAGACACTGATACAGAAAAAGTCTTGTTCCTCAAGAGCTTCATTTGAATGAATATTATCAAATTAGGAATGTTAAAGACTGTTCCGAGCATGTGACCTGGTATCTTACATTTTATTCACATGATTTGCTGCTTTATTCGTTTTATTCAAATTATTTGTTTTATTAATTCTAATTATTCAAATAAAAATTATTGTTGTTTAGTGGTAAAAATAGGTTGATCACTTGACTCAATCAGGAGACTTTTTAATGCATTTAATTGAGTCAGATGCAATTAAAAATTGAGGTTTTAGGAATTGAGTCAAAGCCAAATTTAATTTTGGCAATGTGTATATAATTATAGAATATGATGGTCATTGCTGATTTGGTATATAGCCTGAATCTTCATACAATAACTGATTATTTGAATATAATCAAATGATTAACATTATTACTCAAGAAAATCAAATTTATTTCTATATTATAGGAAACAGAAAAGAACATCCAAGATATAGCACAAGTGAATTCTGGACCATTGTCACCTCCAAATGGGTCCTGCATTCCATCAATTTGCAAAAAACTGTCTATTGCCTTTTTCATCCCATCATTTATTTTTTTTTCCAGATTATCATGTTCTTCACTAGATAACGGGGACTGGGCATTCTTGGACTCCTCTTTTTTGAAATCAATTCTGAATGTATTTAAATTCATCTATTAAAATGATATAACTTGGTTTGGGGTCTCATGTGCATGGTTCCTAAAAGGTAAACGTTTTGTCTCATTTTCAATAACTATTCGAGGTAAATAGTCAAATCCAATTAAAATTTAAAGACTTTTTCATAAAATACTTCTCCAAATCTAACCATGGATTCTACTACAATGTTCTCAGCTTAGGATCTTCAAGCCAATTAAGGAATACTTTCCACTTTTAAGATAGCCACAAGGAACCTTTTGTTATTTTCCAATTCACTAACAAACCATTGTGCAAATGTTTGCTAAATATTGCTGAGCAGTTGTCAGTTGGTACAACAAACAACTCAAGATTGACTTTTGATAAGTTCCAGAGAGAAAACACCAATGTAATTTATATATCAGTCAGATTTCATATTCAAAGAGCCTTCTTTATTACTATCACTATATCCATCATGTAAGTGGTATGTTAAATTGAGAGGATTATATAGGTGTTATTGTTCCAAAGAGATAGCTGATGGAGAGTTTGTCTTCCCAAATGTTGTATTTTCAAAGCTTATTAATGCAATTTGCAATGCATGTATGCTATAAGGTGTTCATTAAGAAGAATACTGGCACATCAAATTAAATTTGACAACTACACTTGATTTGGAACCAGACATATAGACAGTATTATCTGTAAGCAAAAATTTGCATTTATCTAAGTCATCCATCTTTGCAATAGTAATTGTGAGTTGATTTTTATCCTAAATTCTAATGAGTAAAACAAACCAAAAAGATCTTTTATCACCAATGTGTGCTTTCATCACACATTATTCTATAAAAAAATAAAAAAATGTGATTTTTTTTCCAGTGTGAAATAGTCCCAGTTGAAAGCCAATGATCTGGTTCTCCGCCTGTTAAAAAATGTATGGTTGCTCTAGTACACTCAACAGCAGATGAAATAGAAATGCTACTGATATTGCTGATTTTGGTTGCAAGCTTTAGAAATTTGGGTGTGTATTACTTTTTGTCTCCTTTTATATTGCATTCTAGAGCTGATTTTTTGTATAGAAGAACTAAAGCTCCAGTCTCAGCTTACATATTATTTATTGAACACAAAAAAAAAATTTTTTTTCTGTAAATTATTAATGATATATACAATATACAATATAATTTCTTCACGAATGAACTATGTAATTCTCTTGATAATAACTCTCTTATTTATAACAATGAGAAAATTCGATTTGTGATGAAGGAATCAAATACGTAGGTATAATGTAAAATGCAAACTAATTAAATTTTAGGGTGGGTGTTGGATACAAAATTCTGATTGGCTAATTTAAATCTTATAAGTATATATGTGGATCAATCAACATCAACAATGTTAAATCATGTAAAAAAACTCATAAAACAAGCACCTTTTGGGTGGCCTTATGGATAATTTATGTTGAAAAAGGTAAGTTTAGGCTTTTTTGTAATGGTTTTATTATTTTTATTATCTTAAATAATAATCACAAGATTATTTTTGCAAAGATTTAATTAAATGGATAATAGTCAATAACCAGCCATTTTCAGTTGTTGAAAATACAGTTTTAAAAAAAATGGTATGTTTTTGTAATATGATTACTAAACATTTGATAATAAAAACAACAACTAAAAAGGCATTTAAGGCTTTTCCAGGTCAAGTATCTTTTACATTAGATGCTTGGACATCAAAAAATCAAATTCCTTTCCAAGGATTACTACACATTGGATTACCAAGTATTGGACCATAGGACATGCTATACTAGAATTTTTTCCTTTAGAAGGACCACATATTGGAAAGAGTTTCCCAATTATTCTATTCAATACATTGAAAGATCGGAATTATTGGAGAAGGTTAGGTTTAATTTTTATTGTATTTATGATATTTCATATATATATATATATATATATAATTGGCCATTCTATTAATTTTATTATCACCTATACTTTCAAAGATGTTGAGTGTTACATGTTTTAATGTAAATAATATACTTTATTTGAGAATTTTAAATACTTGTGAAGAAGAAGGCATAAATAGACATCTGATCAAAGAGTGAGATGTTTGACAAAATTGTATCAAATTTACTTTATTGGTAAATTATTCAAGTTGCTCAAGTGATTATCAATTTTATTTGATAACAATGAAAATAGCCAATGATAATCCTGCTAAAATGTCTTTCAAAGGATCTTTTTCATATGAGATTTTAGGTTTGCAATAGTAATAATATCAATAGTAATAATTATAGTAATGACAGCAATGGCAATAATCATAATAATAACAACTATAATAATAGCAATAACAGTAGTAATAAATTATTGTTTCTTCACCACATAGTACTAAGTTTCAAAAATATATATAATATTAAGCATCCAGAATTTATTAATGTCTATATGTCTATCGTAATTTAATTTCCCAAATTTATAGCTACATGAGGTTGAATATCCAAACCATGCTAATATGGCAAGAGATTATTTGATTAATGAATGAATGAATATGATTGTTGGTTGAAAGAATATGAATTATTGCTGTTTGATAATTTATTTCAAAATAGGGGCCAATCTGGTTTTTTCATAGACACTACCAGAGACCATCAGAATGTCTGAGTGTTTAAAAGGCTGGTGGCAAGTAAAGAATGAGAAAGAATAAAATGATTTTTATATTTTTATTTCATTGATTTAAAAATAAATTCGGTTTGGTTTCAGTTTACCCCATTAAACTTAACTGTTAAGAGCTTTAACCTAGAGAAAAGATTCTTTTTTACCTCTTTAGCTTTCACTTCTTTCGTCTCAAGGTATTTTAATTGAAGATCAGTAATCTCCTCCTTCTTTCCATCCCACTAACCCTTTCTTGTATTGATATGATATATATATATATATATATATGAAGACTGTTTATAAATTACCATTATTTACAAATTCTTTTACTTTTTTTTTTGAATATAATGCAAATATATTTCTCCATGTTGGTTTCCTTTATCATATTTCATTGCTGAAACAGAATATAAACATTGATTATTTAGTCTCCAGGCAAGTTTTTTATATGCTCAATGAGTTCATTCCTCTTTTTTTTGTGGAATAAGAGCATCGATTTCATGGATGGTTAATTTCATGGACAGTTTCCTGAAGCTAATTTTACAAGTAATTCATTCGAGCTAATTTCATGAAAGTTCATTGGAACTCGATGATGTCAAATGACTAAATGACAAATTTGCCAAACAATTATATTGTTTAATCAAATTTAGCTACTATCATTAAAAATATTGCAGACTCCATTTGACAAATAGTATGATAAATTCTAAAGGATCAGAAACATCAATCACATTCATCCAATCTTGAACCAATGTTTGGTTCTCTTAATAGAATCATCAATTTCTTCTTCAAAGACATCTGACACCTCCTCTCCTTCTTCAAAAGATGCTAATGTTTCACACTTATTACTTTCAATGTTAATCGTCGTCACTGAGCATCATATAATTACTTTAATTATATCAAGCAGTTCATCTTCATTATCATTATCAACAAAATCTTTGGACAATCAGTGAAGTAACTAAAAACCACGCACCTCAACCAATTTAAACCCAAATTTGGTTAAATTAAATACTATTATTTGCTTTATTTATTACCAACTTTTGTTTACAATTTGTTCTAATGTAAGCAAACAAAATGAAATCCAACAATCAAACCGTGCAAGTCCAATCAATTCAACATTTGCGGAGAAAATGAATTAGAAATGCTGCAGAAATTCAACGTAGAACGGGTATCTCAAGGTCAACCATCTATTACAACCTTGCAAACCTGGAGAAAACCGGAAGTACAACTCACAAAAAGCATTCTGGTCACCCCAAAAAGATTACGCCAGAAGGCTCAAAAGCTCTTGGAGAATATATTAGACAGAATCCAGCAATATCATCAAGAAAAGTGGCTAACAAACTGTCATTAAAGGGTATAAACGTCTCCTATGTGACAGTTTTGCGACATTTGGCTGACCTTGGTTATGATAAAAAGTGTCCATTGGCAACACCAATGCTCACGGAAACTAATGATGTGTGACGAAACTTTTGACTTTAGTCACTGACGTAACTAAAGTATTGACTAAAGGTAGTTTCTCACCAGGGTCATTTTGACGATTTGACTAAAGTAAAAGCTCTTGACGTAAGTAAAACCACTTGACGTAATTAAAAACACTTGACGTAAGTAAAGATGCTTGTTACAAGTAAAAACACTTGATATAAGCAGAAATAATGATAATTTGTGTCCCGGGATGGATAAAGAATTATTATAACATTGTATGAATATTGCAAGAAGAAGAATTATCTGGAAGTTATAATTTGAATTAGAAATTTTACTTGATTAAACTATTAGTTTTTTCCATGTATTTTCTTTCAAAATAAAAATGCCTCTTCTTTTTTACTATCATTTTATTATTACACAATCAAATTGTCTTTACATACATATGGATTGTGTTAAATTAATATTTTTGACTTTTGAAGTTAACTACGCGTAATAGCGATACGCAATAATATTAATAATGTGCTTGAGCTGTCTTTAATGTCTGAGTTTGAAGCAATATAGATTGATCAATATTTGGTAATGACATTTACATAGCACATAAGACAGGTTTTGGTACATATTTTAATTTCGTTTTCAATTTTTATCACTTAAATCTTCAAATAATTTTTTATTGTTGAATCATGATAAATTGATTGGTGATGATGATGAATGCAATTTTTCCTTATCAATTAATCCTTTTAAAGGCAATCAAATATAAAAAACATTGTACGAAAAAAATTGCTTGTTACACACATTACTCAATTCTCCGCAAAATCTCCACATTTATTAAAGCACCAAGTCGAATTTTTATATTTATATTTTATAATGTCTTATGTTAAATTGTTATCATCGTCATCACCAGAAAGGCAGGGATTTGTATATAAAATTTACAGTGAAATATATCATGATGCTACTGCCAATTGTGATAGAGAAAGTAGAAAAGATTATTTTTTTTTATTGGTCAA